GTCTGTCTGTCTGTCTGTCTGTCTGTCTGTCTGTCTGTCTGTCTGTCTGTCTGTCATTTGAAGGTGTCGCTGCAAGACCTACTTCTTAATCTTACTGTCCATTTTTGTCTGCCTTATAATTTTTATGCGTTTCGAAAGGAATAAGCTGTATACAAGAGCTTTAAACAACAGATATTTATACAAATAGTAAGACGCCCTCAAAACCCCCACAACTCCAATCACTTCTTCCAAAGTACTGCAAACAAATCAAGATGGTGGACGTGGGGAGTAGCCACTTTTTATAGCCTGTTCATTGTTGTCTGTCCGCTGTTAAAACGAGATAAAATTTTAATCAAACCACATGGTTTTATCTAACTGCTTTCTTTCTATACGTACCCCGAGATCGACATACTTGAGGGCGATTTGCTGGTGGTCTTCGATGAACTTGAGGACGGAGTAAGCTGACTTAGGGGACATTGGGTTCAGGGGGAGCTGTGGAGAGAAACATGAGAACAATGGGTTGTTTTTAAGCACAGGGGGGTTAACCCGAAAAAAATGCTGTTTTGAGAAAGTCGAAGGTAAAGTTTTTGCCGCTTCAGTTTCTTTAAAAGACAAGGAGAGTTTTCTCTGTAACCAAACAAATATACACACCAATGAAACCAAACTTCTCCTTTAAGTAGGACAATGCCCACTTTTGATGTAGGTCAAGACTTCTGGAAACCCCCGAATTCTGGGCTAGCCTGCGTTCTTAAAGTCGATCAGATGTGTCACGACGTGGCGGAATCAGGCGCTCGTCAATTTTTGGGCAAGCGGAGTCATTGGTATCATCTGAAAAATTGTTCATTTGTCTTGCTTTGGGGGGGAAAAAATATCCATTTACCGTATCTAGAATACAAGTCGAGATATTTGAAAATGAAGGAGGTGGGGATCACCTAACCTGGTTTCAGAGGTAAAGTTAATGAGAAAATAGCCGCCCAAGATGAGTTATTTCCTAAGCTTGAGAGTCCATGGAATTTGAAAATTTACATTTTTTGTGCCTTTAATTAACGTTTTTCAGTAAAAATCCGCACATATTATTAATTGGTATGAAATGTATGAGCCAAAAAAAAAATGTTTCGATAAAATAGCTAAACTGGCGGGAAAAGGCCAGTTTCTTCATTTTTTGTATTTTGACCAGAGCCTGACTTCAAAACGCTGCCTCACAATTGTATCGTCAAATCACTGAGGCTGCGCATTTTGCTCGCTTTAAAACGTGCAGTTTTGTGGCAATTTAAAAGAAGAAGCTTGACTGTACTTCAATTATGTCTACTTTATCTTAAAGTTAAAGAGCCAGGCAACAGCATGCATACCAGATACGACATATGCAATTTCACGGCACTGATGTGTGTTTGATGTTTCAAAACATACCGCAATAATGGCTTCGGTCTTCTGGTCACTCATTTCCCACTTTTTTTACTCTAATAACCTCTGCAGGCTTTCTTAGATGCTTGCAGAAAAAGTGATAACCATTGGCAAGAGGGTGAGCTCTTCATTAAAGGCAGGCTGACGGAAACACAAAAATGTCACCACGTTTGTTACATTAAGAACCTACTGGTTTTCTTGGATACCTACCAAAAAGTAGTAATTGTAAAGTAACAATTGACAAGGGAAAAACGGATGAGCTCTTCATTAGTGGTAGGCGGAAAAATAAAATGTTACACGGTTCCTTACTTTGAGAACCTGCACGTTTTCTTGGATTCCTACCACCCAAAAAAAAAAAGATAAAATTTGGCTTGAGGGGAAAAAACGGGGGAGCTCTTCATTAATGGTAAGCGGAAAAATAAAATGTTACACGGTTCCTTACTTTTAAGAACCTGCACGTTTTCTTGGATTCCTACCACCCAAAAAAAAAAAAGATAAAATTTGGCTTGAGGGGAAAAAACGGGGGAGCTCTTCATTAATGGTAGGCTTAAAAGGCACAAACATATCCCTGTGTTCCTTACTTTGAGAGCTCACAGATTTTCTTGGACACCGTACCTACCAAAAAGTAATAATTGTTCAGTAACCATTGACAAGGGGGGGAAAGAGTGAGCTGGTGGAAACACAAAAATATCCCACTGCACATTTTCTTGGATGCCTACAAAACAGGGGGATAACCATTTGCAAGAGTGGGGGGGGGAGAGAAGGTGAGCTCTCCATTAATTATGGCAGGATGAAGCACACAAAAACATCCCACTGTTCCTTACTTTGAGAACCTGCAGAGTGCTGTTCTCTTGGATGCCTTTGAGAAGTTGCGCCAGGCATAGTTCCGAGACTCTGTTGCAGGTGAGGTCGAGGGATACGAGGGAAGAGTTGTGCTTCAGAGCATGGCCCAGGGCGAGACAGCCTCGGAGGTGGAACCCATTCCAGGCGATGTTCAGTTCCTCTAGGTCGGAGTTCTCCTGGTGAAGGGAAAGGACGGTCAATAATGGAGAGAGAGAGAGAGAGAGAGAGAGAGAGAGAGAGAGAGAGAGAGAGAGAG